GAGTTGCTTTGCATGCAGTTCAAAATACATTATTCTCTCTTTCTTCAGTGGAGAGTAGCCACAGAGAGATCGATCTCTAGCTCTGGTTCGCTCCTGGATTGGCGATGACATTCAAGAAATCCGTTTTGTCTCGAAATTTGAGTCAAGCCTGCGCGATGCAAGTCAGTTCAAGGGTATGATTGACGATATCTCCTTCCAAACTGTTGACTCAAATCAAGATCTCCACAGCCTTTCGTTCTCGCTCATGTGCGCAGCAGAGATGTTCGTCAAAAACGTTGTCGACTGGAGGACGTAAAAATGTGCGTCCAGGATCCACTTGCGCTGCTCCGGCCGCGAATCAAGGACGCGGGGCTTCGCTTTTCTTCAGCGAGCGTCCATCGAAGCAAGGTCCATAACTCTTTATTGAAATCATGTGGAACATTGCCGAAAACTTCGTCATAAGAACAGAAAGAAAAGATACGTCGAATGTAAGCAGTGTTTTGATGAAAAGAACAAGCCTGGACTACAAAGTACCATAAACATAGTGACTGTAGTGTAGCCTGGGCGGCTAGGCCTATCAAACCTTTACATGTATGTGTTCAATATGACAAACATGTACATGAGTACATTGACTTTTGCACCCTCTTTGCAAATACTTTTTCAAGTGCTGGTACATGTATGTAAAAAGCAACCCGTACCCGTTTTATCCTGCTACTGGTTATACATGTACCAACATTTCCATGCAACATCGTCCCCTCCCTCCATTTCTCATTGCTCCTATTTCTGTCCTTTCTACCCCTGGACCTGGTTCCCTCTCAGACGCGTTTGTGCCGGAATGATCTGATGATAGCAGTCGGAGCCCCGCGTCTCATCAGCACCAGTGTTCATTGGTGCCCTGCACCCCTAATCTTGAGTCCTCCCCCCCCCCCCTGCTCCCTAGCCCTCGCCGTCTCATCAGCACCAGTGTTCATTGGTGCCCTGCACCCCTAATCTTGAGTTCCCCCCCCCCCCCCTGCTCCCTAGCCCTCGCCGTCTCATCAGCACCAGTGTTGATTGGTGCCCTGCACCCCTAATCTTGAGTCCCCCCCCCCCCTCCTCCCTAGCCCTCGCCGTTATCTCCGACGGGATGTTGGAGGGATGCGCATGTGCACAAATACATAACTATACAGTGGGTCTACAGAAAAAAAATTCCAATTCTAGAAACCCCCCTTTCAAGACTCGGTGCACGCCACTGATAAACACAACGGCTCTACGGAGAAACATGTGGAGAACATAACGGCATAAAACAAGACATTCAAAGCGGATGATGTACATTATAAGGATGACGTGCCGCACTGTGTACCTTACTAACCATTCCAAAATGGCCAATCATCCGATGAAATAGTCAAGTGCAAGTAAGAACGCGTAGATTGGTTTCAGATTTTTTTTTAAACCCACGTAAGTCCGAACAGGGATGGCTACAGTGTGCGATGTGTAGAGTTATGGTCCGCGCGTTATGGTCTTTCTTGAACAAGCTGCAAACCAAGATCGAATTCGGTTAGGGGGGGGGGGTGCTTTGGCACCCCAAACACCCCTTCGTATGCCCCTGGTGTTGTCGTGTCCGCTGCGTAAGTACAGTTAAAAATAGTTCATTCCCTTTGTTTGACCATACCTGGTCTTTGGGTCGCAATATACACAGAGGTTAACTATCAGCATTGTCTAATATTTTGCGGAACTATTTCCCTAGTTCGAAACAAATTTGATGCCGCATTTCTTTATGTTTAGGTGCTGACACACACACTGCATTTTCAGCCACTGCATTGCTGTAAACCATTACGTTGACTTGCACTTGAAGTAAATGCACTCCTTCTAAGGCCGACTCCAGTGTGCTTGGCACGGGTTTTCTCATATCAGTCTCTATACATGTAATTAATTAACTCGTCTCATCAGGTTTCCTTTGTGTATTTTGTTGTCACATGTAATTCTAGAACATACATGTATAATTATTAGTATTATTGCTTTGAACTCATCCGTTATGCGATAGTGTGGTTGTAGGTGCACACTGCAAGGTAGTACATGACATGACAACTGTGTCGCATGTTGCGTCATACTGTGCAGTACTATTTCTCCTCTCTACATGCCTATACTTCATCCAAATTCAGTAAAATTTCGCATGCTGGCTCTCCTCAGCCTCTGTGGCTCGAATACAGTTCATAAACATCGCTATGATGCTTGCAATAGCCTCAAAATTCAAATTCATGATCCAGTTGCCATGGCAACGCGTAGAAAAACAATTGTCGCGATTTGGTCAACAAAGCCCCAACACAGCTAATCAAGAGACACATGCCTGGAAAGCCCTGCTCTTGCTCTTTCATTTGGTCATGTAAAACCTTGGTGCCCTTTCGTGGCGAACGAAAAGTCACAATTCTGCACCCTGGACTGCGGACTATTAGTACTAGTACTAGTATTCGATAGATCAGTGGACAGTGGGCACGTAATTCTTTTTGTTGGAGATCACGTGGTATGAAGTTGATCACGTGGTAGTTTGTCTAAATGAACAGGAACATTTCCTGGCTAGGTTGTGTTGCATTTTCAGATGTACATGTACATGTACATGTATTGGGATTCCCCAAAGGCTGTTCACGTGTCGAGGGGTTTCCTGGTGTTAACTTTCATGTTCATGATGTAGACAGAAAAGTTCCAGGTTGTCCAAAAGAGTGCTCCGTGCCCAAGAGCAGAGCTACATGTACTTACAACAACGGGAAGAGGATGATATGAATACTTGGTTGTAACTCCGAGTTGCACGCGCGAGGGGATCATAAGATAACACTATTTACAGTTGTCTGATGATCGCCTCGTGCCTGACACTCGCAGTTATTCATCATCATCTTCTACTTGCTGTTACTGTACTACAAGAACATGTTCAACCCGTTTCCATGGTTTCCACTTCATGATGGGCTGGGTGGTGGCGATCGAATCGGGCATGCATTAGCAGGGATCTTCCAGATTTCTCCCTGATAGACTCCACACGCAGCCCCAGTGCTTTCTCCAGCTGATGTCGAACACGATTAGTACAAGTCTCTGACTGAGTCAGAGCCATCGCAAGTACTAGTAGCTGAAGGTTTATAAAAAGCTGCGACACATCAGAGACGATTTTCACGTGGATGCTAGATTTTTGACAAACAATCGCGTGCCCCCTGACTCTGGCAAGGACAGCACCAGCTAGGCCAGGGCTGCCACTGTACTCAGACCCAGCAACATATCGTTACTATACTACGTAGATCTACACAGAGCCAGAGGACAGATAGAATCAGGGAGGGAGTTGTACTATTACACTCCCTGCATGCACGGTATGCTCTCGAGATTCCCATCCGAACGTCGCGAGTGCATGCAGGCACGCCGCACCATCGTCGCTTTCTTTCTTTGTCATCAATCTGAATCATCCAAAGCTGCCTGTACGTAGGAAGGCATGGGTTTCCCCTTCCCCTACGTACAAAGTACATTGTACAATGTAGCTCCAGCTTCGACATTTTGCAGCTTTGTTCATGTACAGTGCTGGCAACTGAAATCCGACCCCCTGAGCGGTGGGTTCACATTCTTTGCGATGTGAGCGCACTGCTCCGAGCCGGCAGGGGGTCGGATTTCAGTTGCCAGCACTGTACATGTACATTATAACGTTACAACCAGGGAGTCGTAAAATACTGGTATTTTACGACTCCCTGGTTACAACGGCAACTCTGCTTTGTATTATGCATAGGTCATGTATTCCAATAATACGTGTACACTCATACCTCGTTTATCCGGGCAGTCCGGGACCTTGCACTGCCCGTAACTTTGAAATGTCCGTAACTCCGAATCATATACATCTTGATGGGGAAAAGGCCATCGATATGGCATATGACGTCAATATTTCTACGAAAAGTGACAAAAGAGTAGTAATATTTCCCCTGAAACTCGCCCAAATAGTGCCCGGTAGACCGAAGTGCCCGTAACTTCGAAGTCCGGATAACCGAGGTATGAGTGTACTACGTTTTAGCACGAGTGGGAGCTCATTCTCTCAGTGGTTATAGATGTACATGATTGCACTTCTGCACGATACGACAGGATAGCCCCGTGGCCTGGATCCTGGGCTCATCCTTTCCGTGGTATGAATATGATTGGAGAGACGCATGGTGAACTCATAGACCTCGTGACCAGATGACTCACCCCATGCTTCCAACGCGGGCCGGTGAACATCCTCCCCTCCAGCTTCCCTTCCAACAAGACCAGATCGCTTGGAGCGGACCTGCAAGATTGTCTGACCCAAACTGTCCCACGCCTTGTACTAATTGTACTGTCCGCAATCTGTGACACATTATCGGCACGTCCACGGTCAACTTTCAAGAACAACACTGAATCTCCCAGATGGCGTCTTATGCGCCACACGAAGCCTGCTGGATACGTCTACAACACTCAACAGGCGGGGATTGCATCAGCTAGCAGTTAGCACCGACACGCGAAAACTCAACTCTTAGTCTTACCACTTTTGAGGAATGCTGCCAGACTCCAATCAGGTATAACCTGTCTCCTACTTCGAAGTATAAGCCAACACGAAATAGCCACACTGGCCGCATGCATGCAGGATACTCGCTTACCCCCCCCCCCCCCCTCCCCCACACACACAACACTACTACTGCGTACTAAATGTACATGTAGTATGACAACAATATGGAACTATACGCCAACTACTACTAGGGCTTTGTATTGGGAGATATCCGTCTGCCGATTCTTACAGCCACCACAGGGAAAGGGGATCGAAGAACAAGAAGAAAGGCGACACACAATATATTTCAGTGGTCAGATAGTCAGCCAAGCATTGCGCACGCCCCGTTGTGTAAAAATTGTCCGAAAGGTATCATCAGTAAAGTAGCCTCCACAACATTTCTTTGTACAAGACTAACAAGACACATAGTCAGACTCATAGGCGCAATTTCAACAGCAAAAATGCACAGGTGACAGGATCGAGACGAGGATGTCTTGCTCATACACATAACACACAGAAGTGACCACATGGCTCCGTGGATTATGCCAAGCATAGATTCAAGAATAGGTTTAGGCGCTTCCTGTCCTGGAGTTTCATTCCCAACAAAATGGCGAGTGGATGCAAAGTCAAAATGTTAACGTCTGGGAAGGAAGCGACAAGTGGCAATGATGCATCTCAGCAGGGCCATTGTGATCAGCGCTGATGCCAGAACTTGAGAGAAGACACAGGCCCCATGCAGCAGATCAGAACACTCAAGAACCAGCTTCGCACATTCCTAGTATAGTAAGCCTACAGCAGCGTATGGAGCAGAAGAGGAATTGCCTAAATTGAAACAGGAAACGAAAAAGAATATGCCTAGTCACGATCACCTCGGAATACAGTAGTACCACTAGCATCAATACAGCGCGGCTGCAGGCAGGACATTGGAATCAGGCGCAATAATGCTGGAAGTTGGAACGTTAGGAGCGAACACGAAGATGCATCGACTTACAATTGTAGATAATGCAATGATTTCACACACATTGACTAGGCGGTGGGGTTAGAAGGAATAGGGATAATGGAAAGGAAAATGAGCTGCTTTAGACTATCATAAATGTTTTTTTAAAGAAAGAATTGAGCTTCTAAGTACATGTACCGTGTTATCATATTCAGAAATTGACAAACCCAGACAAGCAAACTAATGGATGGAAGCTAAAAAAATACAAAAAGCAAGCAAAGCAATTTGAAAAAAATATTCACAAGTGCGAGTAGCTAGCTGGCGATAGGTGATAGAAATGTGGCAGTCATGTGAAATGGCTGCTCTTCCCTCTTGGTATTGCTTAGCCTAAGCAAACCAAGCACCCAGATGAGTGGATTCAAGCTGGGCATTTATATAAAATAATTTTTGTCTTTTAATATCAGTAAAGATATCAAGATGAGTTTTCGGCCTCAGTGTGGCGCTCCCAAGGACATTTGAGGTATCCTGTTGAATACTGGTTTGTTGAAATTCAAGATCTATACGATTCACGTCTCCATGTCATTGTCATAAATCATCGCGTTGCTGTCGTCTTCCAGGGAGATTGATCGAGAGAGGTTCACGTCTGTGCCGGGTCTGTCACCGTAGAACTCAGTAGCGACGGCCGCTTCAGCACTGTCGTACATTTCGGCGGCCTTAGATTTTCCAGCTTCACCATTATCGGATTCATTCTCTAGTTTACTGTCCTTAGGCTTCTTCACACACTTATGGCTGGAGAGCATTGCCCGAAGACGCTCGCTCTCCGCCAGCAGAGCAGCATGCTCCTTCCTGAGCTTCTCCTGAGTATCGTCCAGGCCGTCGACTTGCTTCTCCAGGAACGAGATGCGGTCGCGCTGCCGCTGTCGGCATCGGGTGGCAGCGTCCTTGTTGCGTTCGCGCCGCCTCTCAAGCCTCTCCTCTTCCTCCGGAGTGTGCTCCTGGAATAAGGTGAAAATGACATCAAACATGTAGCGGGCATGATCAGTGTTAGTATGGCTACATTGCACATGAACATGTATACACACACGAAAGGCAAAGAGCTGTTGAGCTGTAACTGTAAGTTTCGTGCAGTTTAGCGATGCTCAGACAGTGGCATTTTGTATACAATATAATCACCGCACCACTGATAAGGCACGGAATCGTTTAGCTCTTCTCCCTTCCCAACAGAAAACTCGAATTCATTGCATGGAGTTGAAACAAAATTTATTATAATTCCGGAGCTACCATTCTCTCGCTATCTAGCTCGGCGGCTCGGGTTCATCAAGGAGGCAACATACAAAGTACTTTCTTCCTGGCTACATCCTTCTGCTACAGCAAAAAGTATTTTTTTGGTATGCACTATGCAGCAAAGTAACCACCCTATTGCAATAATGTTGTAATAATTCATTACATACATGCACAGAGTGTTTCTTTTACGGTACTTACATGTCTGTCATCTGGCTCCTTCGTTGTCTCGTTACTATTTGCTGCCGCGCTGGTGACGCCTCGCTTTTTCAGCATCTCCCTCACCATGGTCTTGGTGGTCGGCACGTCTGAGTCAGCTCCATCAACACTGCTAGCAGGGCTGGATATTCCCGTGGGTGACGTCACTGGAGGTTGGTGGACGGAAGTGGCAGAAGTGGAGTACGCCTGCAGCTGCATGAGACTAGCCAGTACGTTGGCAATGGTCGGGTGAAGGTGAACTGAGTAGGTGCCTCCGTCGTGGCGGCAGCACTCAATGGTTCCAGGAATGATGCGGAGGTTTGCACTGGCTGCTGTGGCTGCAGATGGGCTGCGTACGGCGAGGTGGCCAGTGTGGTCGGTTGCGCCATTGTGGGGTTTCCGAAATTGTCCAACGGCTGCTGCACATCTAGCGACAGAGCTGATGAACCGACCAGGGAGCCACCCCAGCCAGCCAAGCCCTCCGCCTGGTATGGATTAGCTGAGGCGGCCGTGACTGAGATAGGATCGAACGACTGCTGGCTGGGATTGGTCGAGGCGTGAGTCATCTGTGATTCCGGTTCAAAAGTAGCTGCATCCACGTCTGCGGCATTGGCAAGAGGACAGGCAGAAAGGCACATGAACGCCGTTAGTGTCTGGTTAAAGACACACTCTGCGGAAATGCTACGCACGATGCACACAGCCTCTAGCCGAAGCAGAGTGGGAATGTTACTGTGTGTGTGTACTGTGTAACACACACGGAGGTGAGCAATGGCCGACTAGTTACTGCTTCCACGTTCGCGTTCACACTACACTTTCTGCACAATCACTGTCTGTTCACACGTACACAACAGTCCGCTTTGCCACGTCGAACAAAAAGTCATTGCGTCGTGTACAGCGCTCGTTGGTGTACTGACGAAAGGACACTGACGCCGACATGCATTCTTCACTGCAACACTGTGCCGATATACCGGTAATGTGTCCGCTTACGGCCTGCGTCTAGCGGGATGCGCCGGTTTCACCAGCAAGCGTTGGGGAAAGTTCCTCTTTCCCCCATCGGCGACGTGGCCACATCGTTTCACCGTGTCGATGACCAGCCAGGCCCTGTGTCGCTACACGCCCCATACATGTACGTACATGTCGGGTGGAAACTAGTAGTAGTATGCGGCATGCAACCAACACTCGCAGGACGTACAATGAACGCAAATAATTATTCGGGTCGATCGATAGGCGATAGCACGAGGATTGATGGCGCAACGGTAAGCTATGGTATCATTGCACAGCAAGCATTGCATCATCCACTGACAACAAAGGTTTCTGTCTTCCTTCTCGATCTTACCATTTCCGCGGTCGAAGACGCTCCGGCGTAAGCTGGGGCAGACCGAAACACGCTTCCAGAAGACGCTGCTGCTGTGGTGCCTGGCCTGTGACCAAGCCGCTGATGACGTCATTCAGCTCGGACTGATCCAGCAAGTCAGCGTAGTGCTGCTGCTCCTGATGTGGAGACTGGGGCATACTGCTCGTCGTACTAGCACTAGTACTGGCTCTGGTAGGATCAGCAATGGCGGTCTGTCTGGAGTTGGTACGTGTGTTGGAAAAGTCGTGCATGATGATTGCAGCCTTCGCCTATCCTTTCGGTAGAAGAGCAAGAAACGTTAAACGACAACCCGCACGTCCTGAACTGCTCCAAAGTAAAAATGCTACCGAGTACCAAGCTCACTGTACTGCTCCCAGTTTACAAACTGCCTATTTATCACTGCCAAGTCCACTGAACTCTGTCACATTCCACTCGCGTGCAATCTAGAAACTGCTGTTCTCTACGTGGCACCAGCACTTTTATTGAGAGGCCGCTTTGAGTTTGGACTTGAGCTGCCACATGCCTTATTAGATAGACCTCATAGCTCAGTCAGTGCGTGCAGTGTCCATTGTGTCAGTGCCAAGATATTCAGGCATAAACCAGCTCTTTTGGTGGGCAGCTGGCGCATGGCATTCATACTCACGCTCACATGCGCACACACCGACGCCGTACCGCCTAGGCAACTGATCTGTAACCTTTTCGAGAACACTACGTCACGACTACTGCAACGGTACGCGTGCAGTGATCAGGTGATTCGTTGAGTCGTTTGCTTTAGCCTAGGCTAGCACTACAGACAGTACAGGGTCAGTGTAGCAAACAGACTGACGTGGAAGGAAGGCGAACAGGCGGATTGCTGTCGACCTGTCCTTGCTTGTTCAACAACCATACTAGTATACCAGTACTGACAGACGTACTCTCAACTCCAAGAGTCAAGTAAGTGCAGATGTCAAAGGAAAAGAGCACGTGATGTACTTCGTTCCGCACGATTATGTCATAATGACGTAATTACGGCCATACTGATACATTATCTACACTGATCTGATCTGAGAGATCTCAGTGATCTGACCAAACAGGGTATCGTCTTGACTCTTGAAAGTCTTGCCTTGGTGACCAGTGACAGGAGGAACGCCAAGCACGTAGATCTAGACTAGATCTACACGGGGTAGATCTACGGTAGATCTCTCTAGCTCTACGGACACTGATGCAGTGCATGGTACAATGTAGTACTGACTGACTGTACGGACACTGCATACCCGTCTCACAACACAACGCAGTGTGATTATGCTTTTACAATGGACTGGGTTTGCTTGCTTCAAAATGTACTTGTATCATTGCATGGTCCACATTATGTATGCGCTACGCTTGGCTTTGGGACCAATAACTTGAATAAGACAACCTGCTGACAACAGTGTAAGACTTACGGAAAGAGCTAGCGACCGTCCTGTTGAGTGACCTCAGGTTCAGGTTCGGGTCAACCGGACTTGTTTTAGTCCAGATTCTAGACTCATCGCTTCGCCGCTGAGCTTCAGTGAGAACACGTGATCTTCAATCCGGTTTTGCCTGCGCCTGGCCTGGTTGCACCACCACTGCGAAGTACAGTAGTTCGTCGCTCTTCGCAAACATTCCAGGGCCAGCTGCACTGGTTGTTGGCCTTGGCATTCTGCTGCGCGGGGCATGTTTTGGGTAGACTGTCCACATGAAGGCGTCAGTGAGCAGCGCTGTGATCTCAAACCAGGAGTCGGTGATCTCATTGATATGAGAAACAGCGAGTAGATCTACTGCGAGCACACATTGTAGATCTGCTGTGGAATTATTTGTAATGTCGATAGAATGCTCTGTTTCCTTCGACCGTGTTATGCAGTGAGCCATTGTTGTTTGGGAGGGAACCAGAAGCTACCTTCAGCCCTGATACTGAGTGATAGGTTTATGCCCAACTGACGCGTTCTCCGTGCATGACGATTGTAGAGGTGGGAATGTACAGGTAACATTATGTACGATGGTTGGAAGATGTTGTGATCATGTCTGTACCGTCGCCTTGTGCATGTGGCGTGCTCGGCTGACGCTGGGCCACAGGGAGTGGGAATGCGTCTTGACTCTTGTACGACGTACTTCAAACGAAGGATCTGGATTCTGTCAGATTGCTTTGTGCCTATTGTGGTTCTTGTCTTGGATTCTAATCGGAGATCACACATCTGCACGCTCGTGTTACTATTCGCGTGCGTACGATATTTGTTGGGGATCTATTGGAAGGTCAATGAATCCTTGGGATTGCTATGGTCGCCGCATGCAAGGATCTCATTATAATGGTCGAAAAGGTCGGAACCCATGAGACATAACCC